TGATTTTGGCTCTCAAAACAGTGTGATAGCCATTGAAAATCCACCAAATTTCAGTGCCTAAGAGTCCAAACAAAGCATGCAACAAAGGCCTAGATGCAAGGCTCAAAACAAGATGCAAACAAGCATACAAGGGGGTAGATGACCCCCAACAGAAAAATTCCCTTAACCAAACTTCAAGAGAGGGTCAAAACAAGACTCATTTCAGTTTAAGACAAATCTCTAAAATGCTTTCAAGCAAGGCTAAGATAGGAAGCAAAATAAGCCTAAAAAGAGGGATGGAGCATACAAGGAGGTAGATGACCTCAAACAGAAAAGTGTCCTTAATCAAACTTTAAGAGGAGCCCAAAATAAGACACTTTTCAGTTTAAGATGAAACCCAAAAATACTTGCAAATAGGGCTAAGTTATGAAGCAAAATAATACAAAAATAGGGGAAATGATGACTTACCCTTGTAGCACAGCAATGCAGCAAGTTCTGGACCAAGAAGGTGAGCCTTCAACCTCTGAAAAATAGCTCCGGGGTGATTGAATGGATGGTGGAGGTGGTAGGCTATGAGGTGTAGTGTAAATGGCCAAGAATATTAGGGTTTGGAGCTTGAAGAAGAGAGCTATGGAAGGTGGGGTGTATCTATCTCAGCCAAATGTTTCTAACCCTTGCAAATGGAGAGGGAAGGTTTGTTTTATAGAGGAAGAGAGCCAAGGCTTCTTGGAGAAGCCTCAAGAAAGGGTCAAAGCTTCTCAAAGAAGCTTAACCAAAAGGGTCAAGCTTCTTGAGGAAGCTAGACCAAAGGGGTCAAGCTTCCTCAAGAAGCTTGACAAAAGGGTCGAGCTTCTCCTTGAAGCTAAGCAAAAGGATCAAATCTTCCTTAAGAAGACAAACAAAAGGCTCAAAATCCGGGAGGAAGGATCGAGTGCTTCACAGCTGGCACAGCTGTGTTGCACTCAAGAAGGCCAAAAAGCAAAAGGCTGGCCAACCAGCCAAGGTGGTCGGCCGACCACTCCCCCTGGTCAACCGACCAAGGGTCAAAAGGGTCAAGGTGAAATGCTGGTCGGCCATACCAGAAAAGTGGCCTCCCAAATGAGTAGAATACAGTTGTATGGTGGGAGACCAGAAATTGTGGCCCAAGGGAGAGGAAAACCAGCTTTCTAGCAAGGTTCAAAAGGGTCAGGAAGAAAATCTGGTCGCCCTACCCATATTGGTGGCCTCCCAGATAAGTACAACACAATTGTGGTATGGGAGACCAGAAATTATGGCCCAAAAGTGAGGAAAACTAGCTTTCTGTCAATAAAACTGGCTGGAGGGGAGAGAAAATGATTTCCAAAAGAATTGCTGGTCTCCCACTATAGTACCACCTCCCAAACAATGAAAATGGGGTCCATACCAAAAATGAACGCTAACCGATGCAAAACGGGGGTTCGGGGGCCAAAACACGCGGCCTGAGGCCCCGAAAACAGACTGTTAGGTACCGGAAGTGGCGTGCGACCACGAAGGTGGTCTCTTGGGCCACAGTGTCCCTCAAAAGAGAGGAAACAAGGTGTGTGCCAAAACTTGGAGCAAACGGAGGTAGTTAAGCGGTCCCGAACTGAGGCACACGGCCGACGGCTCCGAAAATTGAAAACTGGTCTCCAAACAGGAAAAATGGCCTACAACCACGAAACGTAGCCTACGGCCACTGAGAGATGGTCTACGAGACCTCTCCCTTCCTTCAAGAAGAGAAAATAGAGACAACAGGACCTGGTTCGCAAATCGAGGCAAAGCACAAAAGAGCCCCGAAGTCCGGAGGCAAGGCTCGCAGCCGAGACTCTAAAACCTCAGAACGAGCACAATATGCATCATCACCGAGCGCTCAATTGGTGACGTCTGAGTCTTAAGGTCAGTCAAAAATAGGGTGTCTACACCAGGCTTTCCACAGAGGAAAATCTGGTGTAGAAGAAGAATTAAGTAAAGCATTCACCTCCTCAATTGACCCGTCAATATCAAAATTTTCAAACCCAAAATAAGCTAGACAAGCCTCTAGAGGGTCCTCTACAAGAATGGAAGGTAAAGCCTCCTCTACAATCTCATCCAGAACATCTACAAATATGTACTCCTCTCTCTCATGGGGTTATTGGGATGCTTGGAAAACATTGAGTTTCACTTGCATTTTCCCAAATAAAACTTTCATAACCTCGGTACAACAATTTATGCACGCATTGGCCGGAGCCAAAAAAGGTCGACCTAAAATCACTGAGATTTGCTTCCTATATCTAAGACCAAAAAGTCAACAGGAAAATAAAACATATTGAACTTTACTAGCATATCCTTAATTATGCCACGTGGTACTTTGAGAGACCGGTCAGCCAACTGGAGAGTAACAGTAGTGGGCT